CGTAAATTAGTATCCAATTCAACAATTGATCCTGCTACTGGGAATATTTGTATGCGACGATCCGATCCTTGGATCAATAATTTTAATGAATATCTCATCGCAGCTTGCCGCTCAAATATGGACATTAAATTTATTTGGAGTGGTAGCGATGCAAAGGCTCTTGTTTATTACATTACTGATTATGTGACAAAAACGAGTCTCTCGTTTCATGATACATTTTCTTTGGTACAAAAAAGCATCACATCACTCCAGAATTTAAGGAATCAAACTAATAACGAAAGTGCAATCGAGAAGTCTCGTAAACTCGTTCTGCGCTGTTATAATATGCTTGCTTCTCAACAAGAATTATCTGGCGTTCAAGTAGCTTCTTATCTTATGAATTGGAATGATCACTATACAACGCATAGATTTCAAGGTCTCTTTTTAATTCAAACTGAACGATTTTTACAAACTCAACTAAATGAAACGCGTGCTCAACAAAAATTGGACACTGCAGCCCAGGGTGAGTACATTAATCTCTGATTTGATGTTTTATAAGTATGTATCCTTGATCAAACTAGATCAAAAAGGTTTCTGTGTGAAAGCACCAAGGATAAACGAACAACTGTATTTAGTTATTAGTTATCTACAATACGCAACATATTTCGTAAGAGAATTCCCTCTAAATTGAATCATTCACTGCTTTTTCGATGAGAATCTTTTAGATAGTCCACTTCGTTCTTTTTTTGTGACACACAGTTGGACACACTGTTTATTCTCAAGTAGAATTCAAGGACTAGTATAAAGAGAAGAGTATCTCAGCTCAATTATACGAAAAGAAATCTTCTAAACATTAAGTTTAATATTTGCGTGAAGGAAATAAAAGCAAAGATCGACTAAATTACAATATTATAAATTTATTTATAGCTGATTTTTTTTTCATATTTAGATGTGATCGACAATGATATGTATGATGATGAAACTATTGATAATGACAACAACGATGAAGAACACTTTCAAATTCAATCAGTTGAAGACGACAAAAAATATGTACTCGTTAACACACGAATTGATTATCAATATCGCTCCGATAATCTCAACAGAATGTGCTTATATGACTTTGTTAGCATATTCTATAAGAAAAAAATGAATTCTACAGATCTGAAATATTTATCAAAGATAGCGGGATCAATAGAAGAAAAAATTACCCAAAAAGGTCGACCACCTAATGAACGATTTCTTTTTCAAAAACAGCATCCTCAGGCTACAACATATTTAATGATGAAATACAGTGAACCTCATGTGCCTGTTCTCTATGGTCCTCAGATACCTCGACAAGATCGTGATGATACTCGAGAACGATATTGTCGGGCTATGCTCACACTTTTCGTACCCTGGCGTACTGTGACTGATCTTTGTGACATCAGTCAGACATGGGAAGATGCATTTAAATGTCGACAACATCTTATTTTGAGTAATTCGTGGACAATAATAGAAAACATTCAACTTTTGCATGAATGTAAAAAGGACCGCGATGATCATTTACTTCAAGTTATCGCCGAAGCACAGACCGACAATGGCTTAGTCGATCCTGTACTGATACCGACTAATCAAGTCGATGGTGAATATGGCACTGATGATAGTGACGATTTACTTGAATTATTAGGTAATTTGGATGAAAACACAGTTGCTATGTTCAATGCTACAAAAAACTCAACAGAAAACAAATATGTTGAAGAAACAATCGAAGCAGTCAAGAATGTCGGAAGATTTAACAGTGTGAACAGTAAGTATTATTTGAATGTGATCTGTAGGTTCGACAGTAATCGTAAAAAATTTGTTGCAGCATATGGCCAATATTCTTTACATGAACAGAGCGATCATATCGATCAATCATTGGTACCATTCATTTCTGCAACACCTAATCTTGTTCGGTTAAATACAAAGTGGCAAGAACAGCTGAAAACTGAGAAAGAACAGATTAGAAGAGGTTTGATTACGGGCAACTTTGACAAAGACAATGATGATATGTTGAATTTGGATACTGCAAGAAGTGCTGTTGCCACTGTAGTGACTCTAAACAATATGAATATTAATACGAAGATATGCGAAAACTATGGTTCGATTCCTCCAGTAATATCAGTCAAAGCGAACTCTTGTACTCAGAAGAGTGTTGCCGATGAATTTACACTGAACCGAGAACAACGGGCGGCATTTATGATTATAACAGGTCATCTTGATGGTGATAGCCGTTGTCGTACAGGTAATCTTTATAAAAGTAGTCGTCATATATTGAAGTACATTATATTTTTAGGTGACAATAATGGTCAGCTTTTAATGTGCGTACCTGGATGTGGTGGTACAGGCAAATCACAATTGATTCGTGCCCTTACCAAATACTTTTTAGTTACAAAAAGAATACAAATGATACGGAAGTTAGCACCTACTGGTATTGCTGCTGCTGAAATCGATGGCATGACCGTCCATTCATTTTTGGGTGAACAGCGTAACTCAGGAAAGGCGCGTACGATTAAACCAGGCGATTCAAAACTCGAGAAAGAATGGGCTCTCGTTGAATACCTCGTAATTGATGAGATGAGTATGGTTGGTTTAATTCTACTTGCGAAACTCAACCGAATTATATGTGCTGCAAAACATACTGACCCTCAAGTTCCATTTGGTGGTGTAAATGTCATCTTCTTCGGCGATTACTTACAATATCGACCTGTGTATGATGTACCCCTACATACAGATTTCTCTTTACCGGTCAAAAGTAAATCGAACAAGATACCAACTGAAAAACAAATCCAACAACGTGTTGCACGTTCTTTAATTCTTCAAATCAATTGTGTGGTCAAACTTACACAACAGATGAGAACAGAAGATCTACGTTATCTTCAGCTACTCGAACGACTTCGTCATGGAGAATGTAACTACGATGACTACGAATTATTGTTAACACGAGTAGTGGGTCAATCTTCCGTACCCTTGTTAAGTGATTCACCATGGAATAAAGTAAATTTGTTTTTCTAGATTTAGACAATTCACCATCTTCATCTTTTTAGGCTCCGATTCTCGTATTTCGTAATGAAGTACGAACGCAATTAAACCATAAGGCAGTTAATCACAAAGCAGAACAAGTGGGACAAACACCTATAATATGCGTTGCCCAAGACACCTGCAAAAGCAAACCAATTGAAGATCGAGCACTGATTAAAAAATTATTAGAATTATCTGATAGCAAAACGGAGCATCTACCAGGTCTATTACCTCTTGTTCCTGGAATGCCTGTAATTTTAACGCAAAATATTGCAATTGAATTGGGGCTTATCAATGGTGTGAACGGAATCTTTCGGCAACTTGTCTATCAGGAAGATTCAGTGTCAACTGATATTATTTCGGAAGAATTTTCCAAGAGTGCACGATATGTCCATCGACCTTTGTACGCCTTGGTGGAAATTACCAAATCANATACTGGAATGCTAATGGAGGTGATAAAAAAACGTGCCGAATGCGTATGCCGCGTAAATTAGTATCCAATTCAACAATTGATCCTGCTACTGGGAATATTTGTATGCGACGATCCGATCCTTGGATCAATAATTTTAATGAATATCTCATCGCAGCTTGCCGCTCAAATATGGACATTAAATTTATTTGGAGTGGTAGTGATGCAAAGGCTCTTGTTTATTATATTACTGATTATGTGACAAAAACGAGTCTCTCGTTTCATGATACATTTTCTTTGGTACAAAAAAGCATCACATCAGTCCAGAATTTATGGAATCAAACTAATAACGAAAGTGCAATCGAAAAGTCTCGCAAACTCGTTCTGCGCTGTTATAATATGCTTGCTTCTCAACAAGAACTATCTGGCGTTCAAGTAGCTTCTTATCTTATGAATTGGGATGATCACTATACAACGCACAGATTTCAAGATCTCTTTTTAATTCAAACTGAACGATTTTTACAAGCTCAACTAAATGAAACGCGTGCTCAACAAAAATTGGAAACTGCAGCACAGAGTGAGTATAGTAATCTCTGATTTGATGTTTTAAAAGTATGTATCCTTGATCAAACTAGATCAAAAAGGTTTCTGTACGAAAGCACCAAGGATAAACGAACAACTATATTTAGTTATTAGTTATCTAAAATACGCAAAATATTTCATAAGAGAAATCTCTCTAAATTGAATCCCTCACTGCTCTTTCGATAAGAGCCTTTCAGATAGTCCACTTCATTCCTTTTTTTGTGACACGCAGTTGACATACTGTTTATTCTCAAGTAGAATTCAAGGACTAGTATAAAGAGAAAAGTATCTCGGCTCAACTATACGAAAAGAAATCTTCTAAACATTAGGTTAAATATTTACGTGAAAGAAGCAAACGCAAAGATCGACTAAATTACAGTATTATAAATTCATTTATAGCTGACTTTTTTTCATATTTAGATGTGATCGACAATGATATATATGATGATGAAGCTATTGATAACGATAACAACGATGAAGAACATTTTCAAATTCAATCAACTGAGCACGACAAAAAATATGTACTCGTTAACATACGAATTGATTTTCAATATCGCTCCGATAATCTCAACAGATTGTGCTTATATGACTTTGTTAGCATATTCTATAAGAAAAAAATGAATTCTACAGATCTGAAATATTTATCCAAGATAGCTGGATCAATAGAAGAAAAAATTAACCAAAAAGGTCGACCACCTAATGAACGATTTCTTTTTCAAAAACAGCATCCTCAGGCTACAACATATTTAATGATGAAGTACAGTGAATCTCATGTGCCTGTTCTCTATGGGCCTCAGATACCTCGACAAGATCGTGATGATACTCGAGAACGATATTGTCGGGCTATTCTCACACTTTTCGTGTCCTGGCGTACTGTGACTGATATTTGTGACATCAGTCAGACATGGGAAGATGCATTTAAATCTCGACAACATCTTATTTTGAGTAATTCGTGGACAATAATAGAAAACATTCAACTTTTGCATGAATGTAAAAAGGACCGCGATGATCATTTACTTCAAGTTATCGCCGAAGCACAAACCGACAATGGCTTAGTCGATCCTGTACTGATACCGACTAATCAAGTCGATGGTGAATATGGCATTGATGATAGTGACGATTTACTTGAATTATTAGGTAATTTGGATGAAAACACAGTTGCTATGTCAAATGCTACAAAAAACTCAACAGAAAACAGATATATTGAAGAAACAATTGAAGCAGTCAAGAACGTCGGACGATTTAACAGTGTAAACAGTAAGTATTATTTGAATGTGATCTGTAGGATCGACAGTAATCGTAAAAAATTTGTTGCAGCGTATGACCAATATTCTTTAAATGCATCCAACGATCGTATCGATCAATCATTGATACCATTCATTTCTGCAACACCTAATCTTGTTCGACTAAATACAAAGTGGCAAGAACAGCTGAAAACTGAGAAAGAACAGATTAGAAGAGGTTTGATTACGGGCAACTTTGACAAAGACAATGATGTTATGTTGAATTTGGATACTGCAAGAAGTGCTGTTGCCAGTGTAGTGACTCTAAACAATATTAATACGAAGACATACGAAAACTATGGCTCGATTCCTCCAGTAATATCAGTGAAAACGAACTCTTGTATTCAGAAGAGTGTTGCCGATGAATTTACACTGAACAGAGAACAACGGGCTGTATTTATGATCATAACAGGTCATCTTGATGGTGATAGCCTTTGTCGTACAGGTAATCTTTATAAAAGTAGTCGTCACATATTGAAGTACATTATATTTTCAGGTGACAATAATGGTCAGCTTATAATGTGCATACCTGGATGTGGTGGTACAGGCAAATCACAATTGATTCGTGCTCTTACCAAATACTTTTTAGTTACAAAAAAAAATACAAATGATGCGGAAGTTAGCACCTACTGGTATTGCCGCTGCTGAAATCGATGATATAACCATCCATTCATTTTTGGGTGAACAGCGTAACCCAGGAAAGGCACGTACAATTAAACCAGGAGATTTAAAACTCGAGAAGGAATGGGCCCTCGTTGAATACCTCTTAATTGACGAAATAAGTATGGTTGGTTTAACTCTACTTGCGAAACTGAACCGAATTATATGTGCTGCAAAACATACTGATCCTCAAGTTCCATTTGGTGGTGTAAATGTCATCTTCTTCGGTGATTATTTACAATATCGACCTGTATATGATGTACCCCTACATACAGACTTCACTTTACCGGTTAAAAGTAAATCAAACAAGACACCAACTGAAAAACAAATCCAACAACGTGTTGCACGTTCTTTAATTCTTCAAATCAACTGTGTGGTCAAACTTACTCAACAGATGAGAACAGAAGATCTACGCTATCTTCAGCTCCTCGAACGACTTCGTCATGGAGAACGTAACTACGATGACTACGAATTATTGTTAACACGAGTAGTGGGGCAATCTTCCGTACCCTTGTTAAGTGATTCACCATGGAATAAAGTAAATTTGTTTTTCTAGCTTTAGACAATTCACCATCTTCATCTTTTTAGGCTCCGATTCTCGTATTTCGTAATGAAGTACGAACACAATTAAACCACAAGGCAGTTAGTCACAAAGCAGAACAAATGGGACAAGCACCTATAGTATGCGTTGCCCAAGACACCTGCAAAGGCAAACCAATTGAAGATCGAGCACTTATTAAAAAATTTTTAGAATTATCTGATAGCAAAACGGAGCATCTACCAGGTCTGTTGCCTCTTGTTCCTGGAACGCCTGTAATTTTAACGCAAAATATTGCAATTGAATTGGGTCTTATCAATGGTGTGAACGGAATCTTTCGGCAACTTGTCTATCAGGAAGATTCAGTGTCAACTGATATTATTTCGGAAGAATTTTCCAAGAGTGCACGATATGTCCATCGACCTTTGTACGCCTTGGTGGAAATTACCAAATCAAAGATCGAATGCAGTTTAGAACAACTTCAGCCAAAGCTGATTCCAATACCGGTAATGGAACAAACATTTCGAGTCGANATAACGAAAGTGCAATCGAGAAGTCTCGTAAACTCGTTCTGCGCTGTTATAATATGCTTGCTTCTCAACAAGAATTATCTGGCGTTCAAGTAGCTTCTTATCTTATGAATTGGGATGATCATTATACAACGCATAGATTTCAAGGACTCTTTTTAATTCAAACTGAACGATTTTTACAAACACAACTAAATGAAACGCGTGTTCAACAAAAATCAGAAATTGCAGCACAGGGCGAGTATATTAATCTCTAATTTAGTGTTTTAAAAGTATTGATCAAGCTAGACCATAAAGGGTCCTGTGTGAAAGCATCAAGGATAAGTAAATAACTACATTTAGTTATTAGTTATCTAAAATACGTAAAACATTTCATAAGAGAAGTCCCTCTAAATTGAATCATTCACTGCTTTTTCGATGAGAACCTTCTAGATAGTTCTCTCTGTTCTTTTTTTGTGACACACAGTTGACACACTGTTTATTCTCAAGTAGAATTCAAGGGCTAGTTTAAAGAGAAAAGTATCTCAGCTGAACTATACGAAAAGAAATCTTCTAAGCATCGAACTAAACATTTAGGTGAAAGAAGCAAACGCAAAGATCGACTAAATTACAGTATTACAAATTTATTTATAGCTGATTTTTTTTCATATTTAGATGTGATCGACAATGATATATATAATGAGGAAGCTATTGATAATGATGACAACAACGAAGAACAGTTTCAAATACAATCAGCTGAACAGGACAAAAGATATGTACTCGTTAACACACGAATTGATTATCAATATCTCTCCGATAATCTCAACAGAATCTGCTTATATGACTTTGTTAGCATATTCTATAAGAAAAAAATGAATTCTACAGATCTGAAATATTTATCCAAGATAGCGGGATCAATAGAAGAAAAAATTAACCAAAAAGGTCGACCACCTAATGAACGATTTCTTTTTCAAAAGCAGCATCCTCAGGCTACCACATATTTAATGATGAAATACAGTCAAACTCATGTGCCTGTTCTTTACGGTCCTCAGATACCTCGACGAGATCGCGATGATACTCGAGAACGATATTGTCGGGCTATTCTCACACTGTTCGTACCCTGGCGTACTGTGACTGATCTTTGTGACATCAGTCAGACATGGGAAGATGCATTTAAATCTCGACAACATCTTATTTTGAGACATTCGTGGACGATAATAGAAAACATTCAACTTTTACATGAATGCAAAAAGGACCGCGATGATCATTTACTGCAAGTGATCGCCGAAGCGCAAACCGAAAATGACGTAGTCAATCCTCTACTGATACCGGCAATTCAAGAAGTCGATGGTGAATATGGCACTGATGATTGCGATGATTTACTTGAATTATTAGGTAATTTGGATGAAAACACAGTTGCTATGTTCAATACTACAAAAAACTCAACAGAAAACAGATATATTGAAGAAACAATCGAAGCAGTCAAGAACGTCGGACGATTTAACAGTGTAAACAGTAAGTATTATCTGAATGTGATTTGTAGGATTGATAGTAATCGTAAACAATTTGTTGCAGCATACGACCAATATTCTTTAAATGCATCCAACGATCATATCGATCACTCATTGGTGCCATTCATTTCTGCAACACCAAATCTTGTTCGATTAAATACAAAGTGGCAAGAACAGCTAAAATCTGAGAAAGAACAGATTAGAAGAGGCTTGATTACGGGCAACTATGACAAAGACGATAATGATATGTTGAACTTGGATGCTGCAAGAAGTGCTGTGGCCACTGTAGTGACTCTAAACAATATTAATACGAAGATAGGCGAAAACTATGGCTCTATTCCTCCAGTAATATCATTCAAAGCGAACTCTTGTACTCAGAAGAGTATTGCCGATGAATTTACATTGAACAGAGAACAAAGAGCTGCATTTATGATTATAACAGGTCATCTTGATGGTGATAGCCGTTGTCGTACAGGTAATCTTTGTAAAAGAAGTCGCCACATATTTAAGTACATAATATTTTCAGGTGACAATAATGGTCAGCTTATAATGTGCGTACCTGGATGTGGTGGCACAGGCAAATCACAATTGATTCGTGCCCTTACCAAATACTTTTTAGTTACAAAAAGAATACAAATGATACGGAAGTTAGCACCTACTGGTATTGCTGCTGCTGAAATCGATGGTATGACCATCCATTCATTTTTGGGTGAACAGCGTAACTCAGGAAAGGCGCGTACGATTAAACCAGGTGATTCAAAACTCGAAAAAGAATGGGCCCTCGTTGAATACCTCTTAATTGATGAAATGAGTATGGTTGGTTTAACTCTACTTGCGAAACTCAACCGAATTATATGTGCTGCAAAACATACTGATCCTGAAGTTCCATTTGGTGGTGTAAATGTCATCTTCTTCGGCGATTACTTACAATACCGGCCTGTGTATGATGTACCCCTCCATACAGATTTCTCTTTACCAGTCAAAAGTAAATCGAACAAGATAGCAACTGAAAAACAAATTCAACAACGTGTTGCACGTTCTTTAATTCTTCAAATCAACTGTGTGGTCAAACTTACTCAACAGATGAGAACAGACGATCCACGTTACCTTCAGCTGCTCGAACGGCTTCGTCGCGGAGAATGTAACTACGATGACTACGAATTATTGTTAACACGAGTAGTGGGGCAATCTTCCGTACCCTTGCTAAGTGATTCACCATGGAATAAAGTAAATTTGTTTTTCTAGCTTTAGAAAATTTATCATCTTTATCTTTTTAGGCTCCGATTCTCGTATTTCGTAATGAAGTACGAACACAATTAAACCATAAGGCAGTTAGTCACAAAGCAGAACAAGTGGGACAAACACCAATAGTATGCGTTGCCCAAGACACCTGCAAAGGCAAACCAATTGAAGATCGAGCACTTATTAAAAAACTATTGGAATTATCTGATAACAAAACGGAGCATCTACCAGGTCTATTACCTCTTGNTTTCTTTGGTACAAAAAAGCATCACATCAGTCCAGAATTTATGGAATCAAACTAATAACGAAAGTGCAATCGAAAAGTCTCGCAAACTCGTTCTGCGCCGTTATAATATGCTTGCTTCTCAACAAGAACTATCTGGCGTTCAAGTAGCTTCTTATCTTATGAATTGGGATGATCACTATACAACGCATAGATTTCAAGGTCTCTTTTTAATTCAAACTGAACGATTTTTACAAACACAACTAAATGAAACGCGTGTTCAACAAAAATCGGAAATTGCAGCACATGGTGAGTATATTAATCTCTAATTTAGTGTTTTAAAAGTCTTGATCAAGCTAGACCATAAATGTTCCTGTGTGAAAGCATCAAGGATAAGTGAATAACTACACTTAGTTATTAGTTATCAAAAATACGTAAAACATTTCAAAAGAGAAGTCCCTCTAAATTGAATCATTCACTGCTTTTTCGATGAGAACCTTCTAGATAGTTCCCTCTGTTCTTTTTCTGTGACACACATTTGACACACTATTTATTCTCAAGTAGAGGTTAAGGACTAGTATAGAGAGAAAAGTACCTAAACTCAACTATACGAAAATAAATCTTCCAAATATTAGGTTAAATATTTGCGTGAAAGAAGCAAATGCAAAGATCGACTAAATTACAATATTATAAATTAATCTATAACTGTTTTTTTCATATTTAGATGTGATCAAGAGTGATATATATGATGATGAAACCATGGGTAATGATAACAACGACGAAGAAAACTTTCAAATTCACTCAGCTGAACACGACAAAAAATATGTACTCGTTAACACACGTATTGATTATCAATATCGCTCCGATAATCTCAACAGAATGTGTTTATATGACTTTGTTAGCATATTCTATAAGAAAAAAATGAATACTACAGATCTGAAATATTTATCCAAGACAGCGGGATCAATGGAAGAAAAAATTACCCAAAAAGGTCGACCACCTAATGAACGATTTCTTTTTCCAAAACAACATCCTCAGGTCACAACATATTTAATGATGAAATACAGTGAACATCATGTGCCTGTTCTCTATGGTCCTCAAATACCTCGATGAGATCGTGATGATACTCGAGAACGATATTGCCGAGCTATTTTCACACTTTTCGTACCATGGCGTACTGTAACTGATCTTTGTGACATCAGTCAGGCATGGGAAGATGCATTTAAATCTCGACAACATCTTATTTTGAGACATTCGTGGACGATAATAGAAAACATTCAACTTTTGCATGAATGCAAAGAGGACCGCGATGATCATTTACTTCAAGTTATCGTCGAAGCACAAGTCGACAACGACTCAGTCGATCCTGTACTGATACCGCCATATGAAGAAGTCGATGATGAATATGGCATGGATGATAACGATGATTTACTTGAATTATTGGGCAACTTGGATGAAAACACAGTTGCTATGTTCAATGCTACAAAAAACTCAACAGAAAACAAATATACTGAAGAAATAATCGAAGCAGTCAAGAATGTCGGACGATTTAACAGTGTAACCAGTAAGTATTATTTGAATGTGATCTGTAGGATCTACAGTATTCGTAAAAATTGTATTGCAGCATATGATCAATATTCTTTCAATGAATTCAACGATCGTATCGATCAATCATTGGTGCCGTTCATTTCTACAACACCTAATCTTGTTCAATTAAATACAAAGTGGCAAGAACAGCTAAAAACTGAGAAAGAACAGATTAGAAGAGGTTTGATTACAGGCAACTTTGACAAAGACGATGATGGTATGTTGAATTTGGATGCTGCAAGAAGTGCTATTGCCACTGTAATGACTCTAAATAATATTAATACGAAGACATACGAAAACTATGGCTCGATTCCTTCAGTAATATGAGTCAAAGCGAACTTTTGCACTCAGAAGAGTGTTGCCGATGAATTTACACTGAACAGAGAACAACGGGCTGCATTTATGATCATAAAAGGTCATCTTGATGGTGACAGCCGTTGTCGTACAGGTATAATCTTTATAAAAGAAGTTGTCACATATTGAAGTACATGATATTTACAGGTGACAATAGTGGTCAGCTTATAATGTGCATACCTGGATGTGGTGGCACAGGAAAATCACAATTGATTCGTGCCCTTACCAAATACTTTTTAGTTACAAAAAGAATACAAATGATGCGGAAGTTAGCACCTACTGGTATTGTCGCTGCTGAAATCGATGGTATGACCATCCATTCATTTTTGGGTGAGCAACACAACTCAGGAAAGGCGCGTACGATTAAACCAGGCAATTCAAAACTCGAGAAAGAATGGGCTCTCGTTGAATACCTCTTAATTGATGAGATGAGTATGGTTGGTTTAACTCTACTTGCGAAACTCAACCGAATTATATGTGCTGGAAAACATGCTGATCCTCAAATTCCATTTGGTGGCGTAAATGTCATCTTCTTCGGTGATTACTTACAATATCGACCTGTATATGATGTACCTCTACATACAGATTTCTCTTTACCGGCCAAAAGTAAATCAAACAAGATAGCAACTGAAAAACAAATCCAACAACGTGTTGCACGTTCTTTAATTCTTCAAATCAACTGTGTGATCAAACTTACTCAACAGATGAGAACAGACGATTCACGTTACCTTCAGCTGCTCGAACGACTTCGTCATGGTGAATGTAACTACGATGACTACCAATTATTGTTAAAACGAGTAGTGGGACAATCTTCCGTACCCTTGTTAAGTGATACACCATGGAATAAAGTAAATTTGTTTTTCTAGCTTTAAACAATTCATCATCTTCATCTTTTTAGGCTCCGATTCTCGTATTTCGTAATGAAGTACGAACACAATTAAACCATAAGGCAGTTAGTCACAAAGCAGAACAAGTGGGACAAACACCAATAGTATGCGTTGCCCAAGACACCTGCAAAGGCAAACCAATTGAAGATCGAGCGCTTATTAAAAAATGATTAGAGTTATCTGATAGCAAAACGAAGCATCTACCAGGTTTATTACCTCTTGNGATTCCAAGGTCTCTTTTTAATTCAAACTAAACGATTTTTACAAACTCAACTAAATGAAATGCGTGCTCAACAAAAATTGAAAATTGCAGCACAGGGTGAGTGTACTTATCTCTGATTTGGTGTTTTAAAAGTATGTATCCTTGATCAAACTAGATCAGAAAGGTTTCTGTGTGAAAGCTACAATGATAAACGAATAACTGTATTTAATCCTTTAGATAGTCCACTTCATTCTGTTTTTGTTGCACACAGTTGACACACCGTTTATTCTCAAGTAGAATTCAAGGGCTAGTATAAAGAGAAAAGTATCTCAGCTCAAACATACGAAAAGAAATCTTCTAAACATTAGGTTAAATATTTGCGTGAAAGAAGCAAACGCAAAGATCGACTAAATTACAGTATTATAAATTTATTTATAACTCACTTTTTTTCATATTTAGATGTGATCAACAATGATATATATGATGATGAAACTATTGATAATGATAACAACGATGAAGAACACTTTCAAATTCAATCAGCTGAATACGACAAAACATATGTACTCGTTAACACACGAATTGATTATCAATATCGTTCCGACAATCTCAACAGAATGTGCTTATATGACTTTGTTGGCATATTCTATAAGAAAAAAATGAATTTTACAGATCTGAAATATTTATTCAAGATAGCTGGATCAATAGAAGAAAAAATTAACCAAAAAGGTCGACCACCTAATGAATGATTTCTTTTTCAAAAACAGCATGCTCAGGCTACAACATATTTAATGATGAAGTACAGTGAATCTCATGTGCCTGTTATCTATGGTCTTCAGATATCTCGACGAGATCGTGATGATACTCGAGAACGATATTGTCGGGCTATTCTCACACTTTTCGTACTCTGGCATACTGTGACTGATCTTTGTGGCATCAGCCAGACGTGGGAAGATGCATTTAAATTTCGACAACATCTTATTTTGAGACATTTCTGGACGATAATAGAAAACATTCAATCTTTGCATGAATGCAAAAAGGACCGCGATGATCATTTACTTCAAGTTATCGCCAAAGCACAAGCCGACAATGATTCAATCGATCCTGTACTAATACCAGCAAATCAAGAATTCGGTGGTGAATATGGCACCGATGATAGCGATGATTTACTGCAATTATTAGGCAATTTGGATGAAAACACAGTTGCTATGTTCAATGCTACAAAAAACTCAACAGAAAACAAATATATTGAAGAAACAATCGAAGCAGTCAAGAATGTCGGACGATTCAACAGTGTAAACAGTAAGTATTATTTGAATGTGATCTGTAGGATCGACAGTAATCGTAAAACTTTTGTTGCAGCATATGAGCAATATTCTTTCAATGAATCNAATTTGGATGAAAACACAGTTGCTATGTTCAATGCTACAAAAAACTCAACAGAAAACAAATATATTGAAGAAACAATCGAAGCAGTCAAGAATGTCGGACGATTCAACAGTGTAAACAGTTAGTATTATTTGAATGTGATCTGTAAGATCGACAGTAATCGTAAAACTTTTGTTGCAGCATATGAGCAATATTCTTTCAATGAATCCAACTATCGTATCGATCAGTCATTGGCACCATTCATTTCTGCAACACCTAATCTTGTTCGATTAAATACAAAATGGCAAGAATAGCTAAAAACTGAGAAAGAAAAGATTAGAAGAAGTTTGATTACGGGCAACTATGACAAAGATGATGATGGAATGTTGAACGTGGATGCTGCAATAAGTGCTCTTGCGACTGTAGTGACTCTAAACAATATGAATACGAAGATATGCGAAAACTATGGCTCAATTCCTCGAGTAATATCAATCAAAGCGAACTCTTGTACTCAGAAGAGTGTTGCCGATGAATTTACACTGAACAGAGAACAGCGGGCTGCATTTATGATCATAACAGGTCATCTTGATGGTGACAGCCGTTTTCATACAGGTATAATCTTTATAAAAGAAGTTGTCACATATTGACGTACATAATATTTTCAGGTGACAATAATGGTCAGCTTATAATGCGTATACCTGGGTGTGGTGGCACAGGCAAATCACAATTGATTCGTGCCCTTACCAAATACTTTTTAGTTAGGGGTGTGAAATACAAGTAATCCGGAAGCTAGCACCTACTGGTATTGCTGCTGCAGAAATCGATGGTATGACCATCCACTCATTTTTGGGTGAGCAACGCAACTCAGAAAAAGCCCGTACGACTAAACCAAGCGATTTAAAACTTGAAAAAGAAAGGGCCCTCGTTGAATACCTCTTAATTGATGAAATGAGTATGGTTGGTTTAACTCTACTTGCGAAACTCAACCGAATTATATGTGCTGCAAAACATACTGATCCTCAAGTTCCATTTGGTGGTGTAAATGTCATCTTCTTCGGCGATTATTTACAATATCGACCTGTATACGATGTACCCCTACATGCCAATTTCTCTTTGCCGATCAAAAGTAAATCAAACNACAAATGATACGGAAGTTAGCACCTACTTGTATTGCTGCTGCTGAAATCGATGGCATGACCATCCATTCACTTTTGGGTGAACAGCGTAACTCAGGAAAGGCGCGTGCGGTTAAACCAGGCGATTCAAAACTCGAGAAAGAATGGACTCTTGTTGAATACCTCTTAATTGATGAGATGAGTATGATTGGTTTAACTCTACTTGCGAAACTCAACCGAATTATATATGCTGCAAAACATACTGATCCTCAAGTTCCATTTGGTGGTGTAAATGTCATCTTCTTCGGCGATTATTTACAATATCGGCCTGTATATGATGTACCCCTACATACAGATTTCACTTTACCGGTCAAAAGTAAATGGAACAAGATAGCAACTGAAAAACAAATTCAACAACGTGTTGGACGTTCTTTAATTCTTCAAATCAATTGTGTGGTCAAACTTACTCCACAGATGAGAACAGAGGATTCACGTTACCTTCAGCTGCTCGAACGGCTTCGTCATGGAGAATGTAACTACGATGACTACGAATTATTGTTAACACGAGTAGTGGGGCAATCCTCCGTACCCTTGTTAAGTGATTCACCATGGAATAAAGTAAATTTGTTTTTCTAGTTTTAGAAAATTCATCATCTTCATCTTTTTAGGCTCCGATTCTCGTATTTCGTAATGAAGTACGAACAAAATTGAACAACAAGGCGGTTAGTCACAAAGCAGAACAAGTGGGACAAACACCAATAGTATGCGTTGCCCAAGACACCTACCAAGGGAAAACCAATTGAAGATCGAGCACTTATTAAGAAATTATTAGAGTTATCTGATAGCAAAACGGAGCATCCACCAGGTCTATTACCTCTTGTTCCCGGAATGCCTGTCATTTTAACAGAAAATATTGCAATTCAATTGGGTCTTATCAACGGTGTAAACGGAATCTTTTGGCAGCTTGTCTACCAGGAAGATTCGATGTCAACTGATATTATTTCGAAGAATTTTCCAAGAATGCACGATATGTCCATCGACCTCTGTACGCCTTGGTAGAAATTAACAAATCAAAGAACAAACATTTCAAGTCGATATAGGCGACATGCTTCCAAAAGATAAGAAGCCAAAATCAAATAAAAAAACAGTTATATCCATTAAACGGCATCGTTACCACTTGTACCAGCTTATTGCATTACAACACACAAGAGTCAAGGTCAAACATTGAATAAAGTTGTAATTGATTTAAAACTACCAAATGAAACTGATGATATTGCTGNAAATGTCATCTTCTTCGGCGATTATTTACAATATCGACCTGTATACGATGTACCCCTACATGCCGATTTCTCTTTGTCGATCAAAAGTAAATCAAACAAGATACCAAGCGAAAAAAAAATCCAGCAACGTGTTGCACGTTCTTTAATTCTTCAAATCAACTGTATGGTCAAACTCACTCAACAGATGAGAACAGAGGATCGACGTTGCCTTCAGCTACTCGAACGGGTTCGTCATGGGGAATGTAACTACGATGACTACGAATTATTGTTAACACGAGTAGTGGGACAATCTTCTGTACCCTTGTTAAGTGATTCACAATGGAATAAAGTAAATTTGTTTTTCTAGCTTTAGACAATGCACCATCTTCATCTTTTTAGGCTCCGATTCTCGTATTTCGTAATGAAGTACGAACACAATTAAACCACAAGGCGGTCAGTCACAAAGCAGAACAAGTGGAACAAACGCCAATAGTATGCGTTGCCCAAGACACTTGCAAAAGCAAACCAATTGAAGATCGAGCACTTCTTAAAAAACTATTGGAATTATCTGATAGCAAAACGGAGCATCTATCAGGTCTATTACCTCTCGTTCCTGGAATGCCTGTCATTTCAACGCAAAATATTGCAATTGAATTGGGTCTTATCAATGGTGTCAACGGAATCTTTCGGCAACTTGTCTACCAGGAAGGTTCAGTGTCAACTGATATTATTTCGGAAGAATTTTCCACGAATGCACGATATGTCCATCGACCTTTGTATGCCTTGGTGGAAATTACAAAGTTAAAGATCGAATGCAATGTAGAACAACTTCAGCCAAAGCTGATTCCAATACTGGTAATGGAGCAAACATTTCGAGTCGATAGAGGTGATATGCTTCCAAAAGATAAAAAGCCCAAATCAAATAGAAAAGCAGTTTTATCCATAAAACGGCGAGCATTACCACTTGTACCAGCTTATTGTATTACAACGCACAAGAGTCAAGGTCAAACCTTGAATAAAGTTGTAATTGATTTAAAACTGCCAAATGAAACCGATGGCATTGCTTCAGTCTATGTACCACTGTCGCAGGTAAAACGCTTGACTGATTTGGTTATTTTGCGATATTTCGATTACAAATTGTTGTTAATTAAACCCAGCAAGTCACAACTGGCAGAAATTGAACGACTCGATAAACTATATCTAGAGACCCAAGCGCATTTTCCAGAATGGTTGTAACACCTTTTCTTCTTTGCATGAAAACTGCTCTCGTGTGTGTAAATTTTTATGTACACGATTTTCTTTTCTATATTACTTACTCTATGTTCTATATATTTGANAAAGTTGTAATTGATTTAAAACTGCCAAATGAAACTGATGATATTGCTGCAGTTTATGTACCCTTGTCGCGGGTAAAACGTTTGACTGATTTGGTTATTTTGCGATATTTCGATTACAAGGTGTTGTTAATTAAACCCAGCAAGTCACAGCTGGCAGAAATTGAACGACTCGATAAACTATATTTAGAAACCCAAGTGCGCTTTCCAGAATGGTTGTAACACCGTTTCTGCTTTGCATGAAAACTGCTCTCGTTTGTGTCAATTTTTATGTATATGATTTTCTTTTCTATATTACTTACTCTATGATCAATACATTTGAATATTTTTTATTGTTCGTATTGCATGTATTAGCAGTAGTCTCTTTTTTATTATCATATGAAATGATATGCGAAATATCCAGGTACTACTTTTGTGTTATGTATTCATCACATATTTCTTTTTTTCATTATAAATCTAATATCTTTGTAACTCATGATTATTTATCAAATTTCACGAATAAACACATTCCGCTACAATACTATCTCATACTCTTAATTAAATCATTTTATGGTACTAAGTGATTAGGATGGCCCATAAATTCAACAATGAAATCATGTTTCACTTTAAGCACTTTTCCTGCTAATATTTTCGTATAAATGTGTTCTGGCTGAGAGACATCCGAACAAGTCTAGGAGAAACATATCCGATTCTGACAATTGAAAGCAACTTCTTTCAGTTCATTACTATTGCTACTTAGAATAATACTTGTGCCAGTAAATGGTTTTATCAACTAATGCTACGGTATGAGCGGTCGCTGTTTCATATTCTCAATAAGTTTTTGTTGAAAGGCACATTGTTTTCATATTAAAAATTTCAGAGCATTTCAAGATATTGCCGTGATATACAAATCAGAATTTTACGATACATATCTTTGAAAGACTTCATTTAATGAAAACGATAGCGCGAAGTAGCAATTTTATAGATGCATATATTACTATCACTTGAAGTTGAGTATATTTTGAAAGTCAATGATAACATTATTGTAGTAGAGGAGATTCGGTACTTTGATATTCTCAAAGTTGTCCTGGGTAAAGTGAAACAGTATATCCTTGCTTTAAACTTTTCAGTCGAGGGTTAAGCGAATCGTACAGCGACGAGCGTTACTTGTAAAATAAAGTTAATTTTTTTTCATCTTTTTTGGGTCCTATTGGATTAGTGATACTAACTTCATCGTTGTATAATTGTACTAAAAATGAATTTTTATTTTTTTGAAGTGATTTATTAAAAATTGCAGCACTTCCATCGCGATATGTTAGTGGCAAATCTTTATCTTTTTTTTTTGTTGCTGGTATTGTTTCATTTGTATTTTGAACTAATAATTCAATAACATCAGGTTTATTTAAAAAATTTTATATAGATTTCTTTATTGGAACAATATAACCACAATCTCCGAATTCGTTTAACTGTGCTTTCTTAGGCTCCTCATATTTAAAAAATTCTTTACAACTCCTCAGAAATTGATATTCATTTTTAGCCACGGATTGTACTGTGTGAATTATTTGATTGAAAACATCCTCTACTTTAATCAATGGTAATGTAGCTATTGTTGTTGCATTAATATCACTTTGTAATCTCTTGATTATCTTGAGAGCAATGTTAAACAATAATGAAAAATAAGTTGTGATTGATTAGATGATATTTTGAGGAAGTAAATGTTGTTCACGTAATTCCAAGAGAAAACCCGTATAATATTTTCGAAATATTTTTAAATCAAAGATTTCTTTATCATCATCTAATATTGTTTCTGTGAATAAAGGACAATCAATATTTACTACTTCATCATATTGATCTGATGACGAAGAATTTTCACTGTCTCTATTTCTATCATCCGCATCCTCAACAGTATAATCATCTGTATAAGCAGGTGTAAAGCCAATATTTGCTGTATCATTAGAAGGAAATGGTGCATCTTCTTTACCAAGTGATTTTGAAATAAGTTTTCGATGATGTTTGTAGATGTGAGATTTGTAGCTTGGTAGTGTTCTGTAGATAGATCCACACAGAGGGCTTAATTCACATCTGATTTTAAATGTTGGATCATTGCAATGAATTAAATTTATGTGTATATATAAAGAATCAAATGAACAATATACGGAAGAATGATCACATAATTGACAAAAAATAACAATTTGTAATCATTTTAAATCTTTAAACTAAAAAATCGAGCAACAAAATACTATAATATTATTATTAAATTGTTTTATGAATGAAATAGTAAAATATATTGAAACAAATGAAACTCATCATTTCTCTCACAATATACTTGTGATCTCATAGAAAGGTATTATTCAAAAAAATCTGTAACATACCTTCAAAAGTTTTAATAACATTTTCATCATTAGTAAAGCTTTTTAACCATTGTAAAACGTCAAATGAATTCATATTCATTTTATCTTTTTAGCAGAATGAAATAAATAAATAATATAATGAGAATGGAGAAGAAGTTGAACCTAAAAAGTAAAGTACATGATTCAAGAAAATTCAAGTTTTAATTAATAAAGGAGATAAAACGTTTCTTTAGAATATATCTCTATGATACAAGTATATTTATGAATCACAATTAAGAAAATTAGGTTGATATAGTTTACCTACTAGTAAAATACTCTTTAAGACAACATTCTTGATTCTATAAGTAGGACAATAGATGTTAAAATAGGACACGGTAGAAATAATGTCCAGAAAAGTGTTCATTATATCGGTCCCGAAGAAACATCGTAAAGATGTTCATTGTGTTATACCAATAGTGCAATAGTATCAATGAAAATATGATGATACATTACACAAAAAATCTAAATAGTAAAAATACATGGTAGATCTAGCATACCTTTACAAATTTTTTCATCATATTATCAATAAGTAATATTTTTGTTGGTATAAGGATTTATTTTGAAATTATATTCTAAAACGAATATTAGATAAACAAATTACATGAATTAATATTGAAAAAATACAAAAGAAACCGAATTTGTCTTTATAATCTAAATAAATAAAAACAAACGAAATTTTCGATCGTTGGAGGATGCCGTCCAATTATTGTACAGCAACGTCTCGTTAAATGTAAGAAAGAAAAGAAATATGTACGAAAACAGTTCTGTCATAAACATTCTAAATTTTACTGAACAAAATGGTCCTGCTCACTTTTTCGTAGTCGTCATTATATGTATTTTACACAATCATGTTTGCTCTTTTAAGCTGGTTTTAATTGGTTATTTTAATTGGTGAGCTGAAAGTGTTTAGAGAACAATCATAAATTTGTATCATCCAATATTTTTTTTATAGAATCTCTAACAGTTTATATTAATAGATGAAGCATCTTTAATTCGATGTTACGAAACAATGAACTAAATTCAAATGGTTCTGTACGATTCTACACAACCATCGATGGTTTTCTGTAGTAGTATAGAACTATCGACAGTTCTGTACTAGTATACAGAACCATCGATAGTTTTGTACAGTAGTGCAGAGCTATCGATGGTTCTGCAAAATCGTGCAGAACCATCGACGGTTCTATACAATTGTACAGAACCATCAATAGTTCTGCATGATTCTAAAGAACCATTGACAGTTCTGTACAACTGTATAAAACCGTCAATGGTTCCGTGAAATTGTACAGAACTTTTTATGGTTTATTGACTACCATAAAGAACCATAAATGGTTCTGCCAACGCTGCAGAACCAAAAATAGTTCTGCAAAACTCCTTTCTTTTTCATAGTAGTACATAATTACCACCAAACCAAAACTTTTAATAATTGAAGCTCAAATACCACCAAGAATAATTTGAAATATTTTGTTTCAATTGTCAGAGCATTTATCTTGATTTAATATATAAAGTAAAAGTGGAGAGAATTTTTATTGTTTTATTATATTGAACAATTTCGACGACGTTTCGAACAACTAAGTGTTCATTTTCAAGTTCACAACCAAGTACATTGAAATTTTCTCTCCACTTTTACTTTATCTATTAAATCAAGGTAAATGCTCTGACAATTAAAACAAGATATTTTTCTATAGACATGTTTTGAAGGACAATAACAAACCTTATATTAATAAAAGGACTCTTTTGTGCACTGCATTTCGTCATGCTCTTTCAAATAAACAAAACATACACAGAATGAGCTTAGGCAGAGAACACTTGCTTGCCCGTTCAAGAAAGCGTAAACTGAAAAAGAACAAAGAAGATTTTCTGCTTTTCCTGAAACAGCTTATTCTTCGTTTTGGATATGAAAGAAATCTTCGAGAAGACATTGGAAACGAAATGTAGAGTAAATTTTTTTGTCATTTATGAAAGATCACATCATAAACAATCTTCCGATGTATTTATCTTCAATTCGAAATTGCTGACGAAAATCGACTTTTCTGAGTCTTCAACATCAAGACACTGCTTTCGAACCATTTAAGATTAATGAGATAATGAATCGGAGTTTAAATAGTCTCAATGACCTTTGCTCTCAAACAGAAAACTATGTTTTCATTAAAATATCAAAAAATAATAATCTCGTTGTATGGAAACTGTGAACTATAGTAGTGATAGCTAAACCAATGTAAAAGCTACAAAGTCATATCATGTATCTAGTCTACTTTGAATCTTTCAATTTTCATTTATAATACTTAGATCGAAAAACTAGTCAATGATTCAAATTAGGATAAAAATTAAAGTAAGATAGATGACACCTGTCTATTTCTAAACGACATTGCACTCTAAAAATAGTCGATCTTTTACGAATTCTTTAAAGATTCTTCTCCCGGGCACACGGAAAGAACTTTTTCCTGTGAAACCTTTAGAGTTTATGGCTAAATTAAAATAGTTTTTTACTAAATCCAGATGGCTCCATACTAAACCATTGAAATTGAATATGAAAATCTAAAGATTTCGCATTTTCTTGTGAAACCTTTTTCTGCTGTATGGAACTTATAAAAGGCTTCGTAGGAGAATGTTCTTCCCGTGTGCCCGGGGGAGGAACCTTTAAAGGTTTCGTAGAACTGAAGAATCGTTCTTTTCTAGCTATTGGATGCAATTAGATGCTTTGTCAAATCTCCCGAACCTTTTTCGGAGGTTTGGTAAAAAAAGAATTTTTTTAGATTGTGCTTTATTTTAAAATAGCTTCGTTGTAAACTTCCCCCCAGAATAAAAGGCCATGGTCTTCTATTATAGAAATTCACATCGCTCCCGCAAAGGTGGCTTTCTATTGTGCAATATTTTTTGCAAAGATTTTTCTCAAAAACCAAGGGTCTGTGGAAAATTTTTCTGTCATTCGAAAAGGCATTTTTAGCAGTCAAGTCTCATAAAAATAGTTTTTTTTTCACTAGAAAAAAAGTAATTTTAGCTACAAAACCGTTGTTTTTTACTAAAAAACCGAGGTTTTCAGTACTAAAATATAGAAATCCACTGGATTTTAAAAAGATGTTTCGAGAGATTCCATGAACTTCTATTATGCCTTGTAAGATTTTGTTCTGGGATGGCCTTCTGATGAAGATCGCCTTCTACTATACGGTGGCCTTCTATTCTGGGGAGGAGTTTAACTGTGGACAGGAGTTTTAAAAGTATGACACAAGAAAAACAACTATCTGCGACATCAACATTAGCTGTGTAGATTGTTTCTAACAAGCACATAAATAAATGTAGACGAGTTGTATATTGTATCTTACAGTATTTGTCTGAGTAATCTTGTTCTAAATTGATGGCACCTCAGTCCTTAAAAAAGAAGATGGGGAAAATCTATTCTAAACTAATTAAAATCATTCAACTTTAATAAATTATAATTACATCGATTAGTCTGATTAATTTTGACTAAAATCAACTTAATAAACATGAAGAAACCCATTACTATGAATCAGAATTCTATAGACCTTGATTACACGATATTGATTGAAAATAATTTTTTGCTTTAATGCAAACTAATTTTAATGAGAAATAATCAACCCATATAGTTGATTTTCCATCGAAACCTCTGCTTATCGAGACTTCGTAGGAAAACCGTTGGTTCAAAGCGGTTTCTGTTCGTTTATCAATTTTTTAATAATTTTTGTTCTAAATTAATACCTTTAGTTTTGAAAGAATCCATTGCAACTTTAAAAAAGTCTAGCTAATTATACAACAGTAAAACTTGTATCAAATAGCGCTAATGATTTTTATATTGGCTAAGTTGTTTTACGAATAAATAATTTTGTAGCGCTATCTTTAATGAAAGCCTAAACTCGAAAACCAAGGAAATATAGCAGATGTATGTCTGGTGAAATGCGGTTAACCGGCGGTTTACTGGCAGTTTGAACGACATATCTAGGAAAACATCTTGTAAGCACAATTTTGTCAAAATCTTTGAAAGGTGCTTTCCTTTTATATATCTTAATCGTATCAGATACATATGTGCATAAGATCTTTCTAAAATATATTTAAAGATTTTTAAGCATCAAGATCATAAGACAAAAAGCATATCTGCCTATCTTTTTCCAAGATTTTTAGAAGTATAATTAGCGAAATCAATAACTTATTCAAATATTGAAAATTTTCTGGATTAATTGTAATCATGTTCCTAAATTCAATCATATTAATTTCTCGACATCAGGAATACACAAGAGATTTTATAACATCGAGGGCATTTGTCAACCAGTGAAACTAAATTTATGAAAAACAAACAATGAAAGAAAGATAGCTGTTAACTGTTAACTTAAGCGTATAGAGTATACACGACCCTTCTGAGGATGGGTTATATTCTGTAAGTAGCATTACACTCTTATCTAAGTACATGACTAGTGGCAGGTTAATAGTGCTTGAAATAGAGGGATTAAATAGATTTCATGTTTTTTAAATATAGAAATTAGCTGGAAACTGACAAAATGAACTATATTTTAGATCTTAATACCCATGAAACAGTAATTGCACTATATTGTTGGTTTAGTTTTCTTCTAGAGTAAGTCTTATGATAATACGTCATTTAAAATGCTAAAATTGTTTTTCTTTCTAAAATCTATATATAAATACTTAATAGTAGATGAAGGATTTTCCAGTTTTTGTTTTTATTTAATTTCTGCCAAAGTGTAAATAGATTCTTTTATATCTGTAAAACTTATTACATTAATTAAACATTTTTTGTAATACTAGTTGTATTTTATGTCGTTTTCTCATGTAAATAAAAGTTTATTAAACGTTCAAGTAGATATTTTGCAATATTAAATAAAGGTTAGTCAGCACAATATGGCTAAAGACATTGAAAATCTTTGTTTTCAGGTGCGAAGACATAATTATCTGTGCCAAAAATCAATGAATAAGATGAAAAAATGACAAGATACTAGACAAAAGATCTTGAGTATCTATTACCAAGATTTTATGCATGTTTACTAACGATCCAAACACAGATCTTGGCACAAGATAATACAATTATGTTGTACC